TAATATTAGGATAATAAATTTGGGGATGGAAGTCAAAGAGGTCATAATTGTAATGGGAACAAAATAAATTTCTGTAGCATTTCACCATTTACTATATTTTTTAGTATATTATCTCACTTTAACATCACAAAATACTAATAAACTTTAATCTTCCATTTTTATGGATGAGAAAAATGGAACCTGAGAATTAAATTACTCACCCAAGGTCACAGAGTTACATCAGATTTAAGTCAGGTTATTTGAATCTAAAGTTCTTTTGTTTTTACCCGATTTAGTCTTTGCTTTATGGCACGGTCGTTGGTTGGATTTTGGAACAGATATACATGTTCTGTCCCAGTGAGAAGACAAGTGTACTTTGGAGATAGAAGAGGAGAAAAGAAATGAAGTGTATTTCAAAGTACTCTTGGGGAAAAAAGTATGAAAATAGAATTTCTCAAAACCTGTTAAAGGGCGACTTCATTTACACTCTGACTCCATGGAATGCCAGCACACTTCACTGAGAGTCTAGGGTTTTATGAATCCCAATTTGGAATGACTTTGGCCTCCAGTGTGCCCAGTCCTATTACAAATCTCACACTTCAAATAGTCACATGCTGTTAGTTTTGTGTGGTTAAACATGATAGCCCTGATACCAGGCCCTTTATTTTTGCTGAAGTTCACTGTGTCCTGTTATATTCCTTGTATTTTAATTGAAGTTTTAGTGGTTAAATATTCCTGCTTCAAAGAGAGAGAACTTTTTCTAAACGAAACATTGAAAAATCCTCCTCATTATTTTATTCTCAAACACAATTATTCTTTGACTTCTTTGTCTGTTCCTGACTTCAGTGAGGATGCCTTGTTAGTTGAATATAATTGGTTGAGTCCTGCTGTGCTGTTCTCTCCAAATTATTTTCTCAAGATCTTCTCTAGGTGTGTCCACAACACACCGGTGCTGACCTAGAGTCACAGTCCAGCCGACAGGATCATGGAGTGATCCTCAAGATGAGTGCTATACTGAATGTAAGTGGTGAGACACCACATAGATCAGGTCTCATTTTAGCTCAGCTTCTTTCGGTCCTGTGAACTGCACACCGTTGCCATAAGGCAGGCACTTGCTGAATGACCCTATCCAACTTGTACGGGTCTAGTCATTTGAACTGAACTGAAATGGGATTTTGAGGTGTTGGGAGTCAGATTGACATTCAAATTCTGAGTTCCCACTTACTAGCCATGTGCATTCAGACAACACACATCATCGAAGCATTTTCTCAAATACAGAAGGGGATATTTAGAATCCTCCACCTTGCAGAGTTACTGTAGAGCTTAAATGACTTAATCCATGTAGAAGGCTTATTACCATAACCTGTAATCACTCAGCAAATGGCATCTTTTACTTTTACTGTCTCCTAACATAGTTTCTATGTTTCTTAGCTTGTCAAGATTATTTAACACAGAGAGCATTGGGATTTAATGAAGTCACGCTTGGAGCGCTGGCTTTGTTTAACAAGAAAAACCTAGTTGTATCAATGAGGAATATTTTCTGCAAAAACAGAAAATCTGACTATAAGTAGCTTAAAGAAGCAGGGGTTTTTTAAAAATAAATTATCTGGAGGTGTCTGCCTGCTGGTGTGTGTTCAGCCTCTGTGTTGTCAGAGCTGGTATCTCTGTATCACCCTTCGACTTTTTCTCCTTATCTCCCCAAGTTAAGGCAAGAACAAAGGAGAGAAGGGTTCGTACCCATCACACCTGTTCCTTTTATGAGAGAAATAAGAACATTCTCAGAAACTTCTGTTAAACTCTTCGCCATAGTTGGGCATCATGTGGCCATTCCTACCTGGGAAAGGGATGAAATAAGTCCGTGACTTTTTCTGCCTCTACCATATGGGGGAAGGCAGTTGGAGGGTCAGGCACCAGCATTTATGACACCAGGTTCAAAACTTTTCTTTGAATTACAAAGCAGTGGCAAATGTATACCTTAATATACAAATAATTTCACTTTGAATTCACCTTGAAGCCCCAAATCCCCATGCAGTCTTCCATAAAAGCACTGATTGAAGTAGGTCACCACCCCCCAATTCCCCTCCAAAGAACAGGATTTGTCAGCAACTTCCAAGACCCAGCTTAGAACTTTTGTCTGCAAGTTGCCAACCCTATGGGGTAAGAAGGGGGTCTCTTCCCGGGGGTCAGCCTTCGTGCTGCAAAGCAAGACATCTGGAAAGCAGGACATGCTGCACCAGGAATTCAAGCCAGTGAGGATCTTTAAAAGAGGGGGGGGAGGGGGACCGTGTTAGGCAAACACCACTCCCAGCGCTTCATTGTATATGCAAAGCAAACCAAACAAAAAAAGCAAAATGTGTAATTATTTTATTTTCGCTTACTTAATTTCTTCGTCAGACTGATAGAAGTAAATGGTAATACATATGTAAATGTATACTCGCAGTCTCTCACCTTTCCACTGTTACTCTAACACATTGATTTTTTTTCCCCTCTGTTTCTTGTTTTCATGGATTCTGGCCCTTTTTCTTATTCATAAATGGTTTTTACATACATCCAATAATAGTTAAGATAGAACGTTACATTCCACCTTTTTTATCTTTTCTCCTCTGAACATTAAGATTGATTCTTAACGGAGGTCCTTGAGATAGCCAGGACTCTTCTGGCAGATTTTTCTGTTCCACTCTCCTGCTCTATTTCAGATAAAGAATGAACTTGTTATTTTATCTGAAGGGCATTTATTAAAATAGAAGGAAGTTAACCTAATTGCTTTCAGATCTCTCTCTGCTTTGTGAATCGAATGGTTAGAACCTGATTTGTTTTATGATCCGGTGTCTTTGTCATTTTACTTATGCTGGTTAAATGTGCTCTTACTGTTTACTTAAAAAAATTTTTGTGAGCCCCCTACCCTCCCCATTTCAGTAGTTAGTTCAGACATCCATGCTTTGTTAGTAGTTGAGCAAAAATGCATCATTCAAAATGTACGCCTGTGTTCACTCTGGCTACCACCGTGGGGCTCTGTGTATGTTCTTTATGAAGTGCCCCTTTTCTGTAACGATGAATTACATCAGTACCCAAGCCCCTGATGGGAGTATGAGCTGTTTGATGCCTATATAAAATCTTTTAATATCTTTGTTGTTTCCTCTAATGCATGAATTTACAGAAGCCTAAGGGGACTTGGTATTTATTGAAGGTGGAAATTACCATGAGCCTTCAGTAACAAAATGAGTTAATATATGACATATTTTATGAAGTCCATTGTAAATATAATTTAAAACATTAAAAAAAAACCCACCTCTCAGATTCTAACCTGAAACCTTATTCCATGTGATACATACACATTTTATGTTCTGAGGGAGTTGATTGAACTTTTATGACTTAAACTGCTCTTATTTGGAGTATTTGCTTCATGTGATTTAGTTTTATTTTTATGTTTTGGTGTCCTTCAATGAGCTAGCTTTCCTATTATAAATGCATTTGAAAGCCTATAGCATCTCAAACTCTTTAAATGTGAGGCCTTCTCCCCCCTTAAGTTGATGTATTTAATGGAAAAGAAGAGTTTGGAGAAACAAACTATTGTGTTTAATTCACTGCAGTGGCACAGGTAGTGCTTGTGTATTCCCGTTGACAAGGAGTCTTTTTCATAATTCAGTCTTTTATTTTCTCCCTTGCCCAATCATAGAATTATAGGCAATCATACCTCTGATGTCCTAGTCCCCCTCTTTTTTTCACATTTGGTAGTACCCCCTAAAAGTTCTTAAAATAGAACATTATCCCCCATATAGTGAATTATGTTTATCTTTGACGGTGCTGACTCATTTCAGTTATTGACTTGTGTGTGAATTGTAAGAGGCTCTGTTTGTTCAGCATTAAACACTGAACATCCAGAAAGCCAGGTTGGGTCACAGATGCACCCTGTGTCCAGGCTCTCTCCTAATAAACTGAATTGCTTTCTGATGGTTTCATTAGGCCCCCTTCCCCACCTTAGTCCTAAAGACATGTTTGCTTTGAATGGGAATAACCCTCCCCTGGGCATAGTTGATCTGGGTATTGAAATGCTTGCTTGCTTTGCTCTTTCTCTGGAAGGACCACGGGAAGGTACAAGATACAGTCCGTCTTGGTCAACTCCACATGGCTCAGCAGCTACATCTTTGTCCCCTTGACTTTGTGGTGATTTCCTGGGACTTAAGTCCTTGCTAAATGCAGTGAAGAGGCAATGAAGGAGAGTCTTGGTTGCTTTTCCCTTTTTATATTTTCTTTCCACCCACTATTTCCGTATACTTGGGGAGACATAATCTATTTCTTCATTTTGGACAGATGTAACTATAGGTCTTAAACTAAAAGCTCAGAGCTTTGTTGGTGATTTGTTCTAGTTCTTAGCCTTGAAAGTGAGATAGTATATGGGGCAGGAGTGCTGGGGGTGGAGAATGATGGTCTAAGGCAAGCAGAACAAATGTGCATTCCTTTTAGATGGTGTGGTAAGTTTGGGAAAGGACCTCTATCCAAAGTAGAATGCCAGACACTCTCCAAAGTTTCATAGGTGAAGAAAGTGACAATTTGGAATGTTTGGGACATGTCTTATGACTGAGCATCCTCTACCAACATCATCGTCACTGACACTCATTTATGGGAGAAACAAAGCTGTTCCCACCATTGTTTCAGAGGCAACTTCAGCTCTCATTGAACACTTGGCAGTAACCACACACCCAACTGAATCTTAAAATTCAGCCTCTCACCCCACGGATGTTTATCTTGGTTCTTTCAGCAAAGACATAAACATTCAAAAGTGCAGCTGGAGCGAGTCCCCTTGTCACTGTTTTCACTTGTCCAGTAGCACTGAGTGTGTGTCCAGCTAAAGGTGCCCTATCACGCTAATTCGGTCTCTAGAAGACAACTCACCTGCACGGGCCTCACCAGCATGCTGTGTTAGGGTTTCCCAGCGCCGAGTCTCACAGCCGGTTGTGCCTTGTGGTCTGATGTCTGCTGCCAGTGTAGACTGTGTTCTAATATTTTCTTCGATTTCACAGGAACTGACAATGGTGAAGCCCTCCCTGAATCCATCCCATCAGCTCCTGGGACACTGCCTCACTTCATAGAGGAGCCAGACGATGCTTATATCATCAAGAGCAACCCCATCGCACTGAGGTGCAAAGCTAGGCCAGCCATGCAGATATTCTTCAAATGCAATGGCGAGTGGGTCCATCAAAATGAGCATGTCTCTGAAGAGAGTCTGGACGAGAGTTCAGGTAAGAATGAGAATCAGAAGAAGCTGTGGTAGCTTCTAAGATTCTCACATTGTTGTATGTCTGGGAGAAACTGCATAAGCCACCACCCACCATTACTGTATTTGAATGAAGTCATATTAACATCATCCTAGGAACATAAGATGCAGTCATATCTTTAAGTGGCTCCACAGTTCCCTTGCTAGTCAACTCCAGTATGGTAGAGGGGCAATTTTTATTTTCCTGCTGTATACAACTCCAAGACCTAATTTTGTATGAAAGTTAATATTCTCACTGGAAATAAAACCAGGCAGTCACTGTTTTCATTTTCTGAATTCTGAATACTTTTCAGGACCTACATCTTTCATCACACACCTCTTTAAGCAGCATAAATTCAGTTTCTCTAATCTTTCCTCCTAGATATTATTCTTGTGTGCTTCATTCTCCACAGTTGATGGTTTGAGTCTTTTCTAAGTTCTTTTGAGTACTGTGTAATGATTAGAGCCCAAATTAGATGACTAAATTTGAATAGGATATCCAGTGTAAAACAGATTCAGGACCATCTTTATTGGCTTGGCTGGTTTGGCTGGTGGGGAGTGATGAGACTAGTGATCATACTAGCTAATGTTTACTGAGCATTTACTATATACCAGGCCTTAGCTAAGCATTTGACAGACATTACCTTACTGTCTTTTCAACAGCCTCCTGGGGTAGATATCACTGCGATTTCCTTATAGATAAGGAAACTGAGGCTCAAAAGATTAAATTATGGGCTGATGCTGGATCTCAATGTAAGATCATTTGACTCAAAACTTTCAAAATTTGTAATGTTTTTATTTTAGCATATGACAGAAACAGAATATGCTTTTGAACTTGGGCTCCTCAGACTACCTGAAAATAGCCTCATCCGAAATCCAATCTAGTGTCATCCTAGATGATTGATTTTATTAGTTCTAGACTTAGTTTCAGATTTTGAACAAACCAAAAAGCCTGAGTATAATTAGGATGTTTCAAGTCAGCTTAACTTGTTAACTATATACCAGTGCTCTTCAGTACACTAGGCCAGGCCTTTCAGAGTATTTGAAGAAGGGTGAGATGCAAACACGATCTCTGGGGCTTTATATCTACGAATAGGTGTCAGACAAGTATACCCTTAAGTCCAGTACAAATGAAGTTATGATAAATGTCTGAAGAGAGGTAGATGGTGCTAAGGAGGATTAAAAAGAAAAAATCACATGTAAGTTTAATTAGGACTTGCAGGAAAGGTGTGGCAGCAATAGCATTTGAAAGAGACGTTGATAAATAAGTAATTCAAACAGGCATAATTGATACTACACCCTATGGGGCAAAGAAGAGTCTGTGGTTTGAGGGTCAACATTAACAAATGAAAGAAAACTGAGTATATGTTCCTCAAGAAGTTTGGTTTGATTGAAATATAAAATTGACACAGGAGAATAGCAGCTGATAGCTGGAAAGCAGTTCAATGGCATGAAAGGCCCCAAATATCAGAGTGAGGAGTTCTTTACTTAACTTTATGGATACTTTACTGGTAGTGGAGATTGATTACATTGACACTGGGAATGCGGTGTCTTTGAAGTTATGCTTCAAAAGATGAGTCCGGCACAAGTGCTTGGAAAGGCAAGAAGAAACAGGAATGGGAAGCTGGGACAATTCAGTTGAGAAAGTAAGGTGTGCTTCTAGAGTAATGGCCACAGAAATAAGAACTAGGTACCTGATGTGAGAAGCACTTTAACAAATCAAACTTAATAGCTGATGGAATGAATGAATGAAGGAGAAATAAAAATCTCTATAAACAGAAGCAGAAGGGTAATGCAATTCATAAAAGTAATCACATTAGCAAGGAGAAAAGGCTGAGATGATCGTTTGAACAAACTGCATTCGAAATTCTTAAGGGATATAATGAAGACATGTAGAGATGGAACTTGGTAGAGTGCAGAGGTAGAAAAGTAGCTTTGGTAATCATCAGTAAAGAGCGAAGCCATGGAGATGGAGTTGTCGAGAGAGAATAGGTTATGTGAGAAGAGGCACACCTCCTTAGAAGGCAGCAAGAGGAACGTCAGCAGCCAGCAAAGAGGTGAGCAGGGTAGGCTGTGTTCCAGAGTGAAGGGGGAAAATTATTGCAAAAAGATCTTCAGGTAATACTGTGTCTCTGCTTTGGAATCAATGAAGGAGGAGGTACAGAATTAAACATACATGTAAGCCAGGCTAAGCATTAGTGTGGGATTGCAGAATAAATACATAACTTCAAAAGGTAGAGAAATACCTAAAACTTTATCAGAGTTCTCTGTTCTTTTCGCTTTGGAACTAGGGTGAGGAAGAAAACAAAAGTGCTTGTTTTACAGATGTTATTCTTCAGACCAAAAGCATGCTTACAGTTCTGGAATCTAAATGTGAGAACTGAAAGGGATCTCAGTTGTAAACCTAACAGCCCTATTTTATACATTCAATAAAAAGTTCCAAGAGATACAAGTAGTTCCTGGCATAGCTATGTTTAGAACCCAGATCTTGTTATCTACACTTCTGACACATTTCCTTGTCACTATAAGCCACCTTTATGTACAGATTCCTGTGCTCTCCTTTCCAATCAAAATACTGACAAATTCCCTTACTAATGTAAGGGTGGGTTTCGACATACAGCTCAGCATTTTCTATTGTGAGTCCGTATAGTGTTTAATTCTGTGAGTGTATAATCCTACAGCTGTTCCATTGGAATTTCTTTATTCCTGACCACTTCTGCCATCTCTGTAAGGGCCAATCTCTTACTCTGTATTGTGCTTCTGGCACTGTTAGAGAAGTTTGTAACAACCTAAGATACAGAGACATTTCCAGGATTCTAGGT